AAGCTTCCTTCCCTAAYTTATCTAGGATGCCATTAAGTTCTAAATAACAACAACAACAAAAAAACCCACTTGTGCTCTGCAGTTACCTTGCTGCTTGGTGAGGCCCTGGAATGCAACAGATACCCTCATCTGCCTTGACTGTCTTCAGCCCATGATGTTGCTATATCTAGTTCTTCTACTGTCACTTCAACCATGTGTACCTAAATGAAATGTGTAGTTAATAAATCAAGAAAATCCTTTCTAAAAATCTTCTGTCTGTAGCTCTGCCACTACATGTTTTTCTTATGTTCCAGATTGCTTCTGTAGATCTGATATTGTCATTTTTGTAGTCCCCTTTCTCTGCCTTATCACTTAGACTTTTTCTCATTGATGGAACAGCTTTAATCTGACTCTTGGTTTAAGATCTTCTCCTCCTTTTCCCTATGAGAAATTCAGTCCAAACTTCTTGTGGCATTTGCTACTGTTGTTTTATCTTTTTATAAGCGTGCACACCTTGGGTATCTTGTACCACTGCCAACAGGTATTTTCCAGTCACAGCCACCCTAACGTGGCCGTGCGGTGGCTGCATCATCAAAGTTGACATCTGTTAATAAAACACTGCTTTGTGCCCTGTAGCCCAGCGATGGCACATGCGTTACAGTGCTTTATGTAGCAAAAAGACGATGACAAATCAGTTTTGGAATGCTAAATGCACTCATGGCTACAGAAGTAAGGTATTGTTACCTTAACTAAACTTGCATCTGAACWAACTGAAAAGCTGATATGTAAATCCACCAAGTTTTCATGACTTCAAGAAACTGGTGCTTGGAGTGATGAGCTTTTACATCGCAGGTGTAAACCCTTAATATTACTAAGAAACRTCTTATTTATGTGTATCTAATACCCAAAATGGCGTGGCAACTCTAACTAGCCTTAAGGACTTCCTTGAGGTTTTTACTGTAAATGTGTTATTACTCTGGATGAGCCCATCAGCACATCTGAAAATGTGCTGATGGCTAAACTACCATTAAGGAGATCAAACAATAATGCACAAAGCTAGTTTAAAAATAATTTACATGGGGTGTGTTTTAAGTTTGAAAAATGTGTATGTCAGTCCGTTAAGATGTAAATGTGGTTAAGATGATGAAACCACAGAGTCGTGATGTTTGTAAGAAAAAAGCTTCTTWCTTAGATGGTGCAACTAAAGCTTCTGAGCTAATGAGAATGGATAGTAAAACATATTGTGTTTATTTTTAAGGAGAAATGGGAGTATGATAATGAACCTGTCATCCTGTTCTACTTGCAACAAGAGCAGTAATATAATGTGATCCTGTAAAGAAGTAAGATGGCCCTAAAATTTGTAATTCTGCCATGCAGCAGCTGGCAAGACACTGAAATTTACTTCTCTATGCCTGTTTTTGATGAAGACATAGTTCATGTTTTTCTGTGTCTATTTTATTTTGGTTTAATTCAATGAGAAATCTTGTTGTCTGTAGGTTATACAAGCCCTGGAAAGCCCTGGAGAGCGTGGTAAGTGTTAGTAATTCAAGCTGTAGGGAGAAGGGAGAGTGTCTAGCACTGTGTTCTGGCAGGAGTGGTAGTTGTGGAAGTCTACAGGTCCAACCAAGTGAGCAAGTTCTGGTCTTAATTGGCTGTTCACACTTATCAAAAGTGAATACACTTCAAAAAGGGACTTTACTTATTAAAAGATGCAACATAAATATATGTTGCTAATCTGACATAGCCATTGTTGAGAATAATATGTTAATGAAACAAAACCTAAATGTGACATAATTTCAGCTTGGAGAAATACACAAGCATTAAGAAAAAWTTATTAATTAAAAATAAACCTTTTCCCCTACAAAATGCTAAGTCTTGTTCTGAAATGAAGCCTTTACATTCTACAACTAGAACAAAAACAAGACTGTTTTTTGCTGTGCGCCCTTCATCTATGTACATGTATGGATGGGATGGTTAAGCGCTCAGATTTTGGAGAGGTGACCCACATGATCAGTGCATTACTGAGAAACAGAAGAGCTTTCACAAAGGCATTGAATTGTATTCCATTTTTAAAAAGTCTCTGGAGACTTTGTTAGAGCTGTTCAGGTATTTTTGATCATGGTATGTCATGCTCTTAGCCAWGATAAAATGTGAGCAGACCATTTACTTCAAAGAACAAGGTATGTTTGATTTAAACTGTTGTCCAGGGAGACTAAAGACTTCTTCTTTATGTTGTTTTTTTTCCATGAAATCCATGAAGTGAGGCCTCCAAGAAAGAAAGATACTCAGTCTAAGAAGAAACATTGTACAAAATCCTATACAAGAAAATATGACAGCAGGAATATTAGGCCAGCTAAATTCAGATAGGAGAGAGAAGTACTAGAAAAGGCAAGTGATTAATACAGAATTCTCCATTGCATTCATCTGATATAAGGGTACACTCAAGTCAGGAATTAGTTGATGGAAATCTATGATTTTTGTTATGTCAGCTTTGTCTTATCAAACTATCGCAATACCAATTTTTTCAGGCATTTCTAGAACAAACTTTTTTTTTTTACATTTTTAAATCTGCTTCATAATAGATGAAAAATAGAGCAGCAGATGATTTTTTCAAACCTTACTTGGCTCCCTACCAATAACCTCTAAACCTTGTGTAACAGCAAATGCAGTTGAAGTATTCTCCTTCAAAGTGCATTCTTCAAATTGCATTATATTTGTTTACTGAACCCAGTGTCTTTGGGTCTATCCAGACTTTCTCACTGCCTCTTTATGATTCTGACCATCCAAAAAAGTGCAAAACCTACCTTGAAAACAAAACTTGCATTCTATCTCCATCTCTCTGGTTACACCTCCTCTAGGTAAGTATTACAAATGAGCTAAGCCTTAATCGCCACACTAGAGATTTCTGCTTTTTTATCCTCCTAGGTAGATTTTCATGGATAATAACAGAACAAAGGATTTGTGTTTTGTTTCTGCTGTCCTTGAAATCTTATGTTGGTTGGCGTGGCTGGTGTGTAAAGGACATTCTCTGCACTATAATGCAAAGGGAGCAWCAGCAATACTCTGCTGGCAGCTGCCAAACAGCTAAATTTCATGAGGATGAGTGTTTCCAGTAAAAGAGTGCTTTAAATAGGCTGCTGGGAGTGAATCAAGCTTAGTGATATCAATGGAATGTTGTAATGTAAATGCATAGTTTAAAACTGTAACCACTAAATCTTTCACACTGCTATAAGCTATTTTTATATTGTTACTACTGTTACTATTTTTTTAAATCATTCAGAAGTCATGACAGTTTTGTATTTTCATCTGTTATTTCTATTGAAGCTAAGAACTGATAACGTGATGGGTATTGTGCTGATTTGGAAAGAAGGCAGAAAAACTGTGTGGAACAGGAATGTTTAAAAAAAAGGCTTAAATAGGACTTTTTGACTATCTAAATTTTTAAACCACTCAGGACTAGATGAATATAGCACTTGTTAGAATTAAGCATATAAATATTTCTGATATTTAATGTCAAAAAAAAACAGTAAAATATTAAAAAGTGCTTGAATGATAGAAATATAACAAGAATCAAAGGTGCTTTTGCAACTGAAATCTGCATTTCAAATAATTACATCACTTCAGGTGTCAGGGGATTGGTATCAAAATTGTTTCTTTGCGTTTTTGCTTGATGTCTGTATTTGAATTTTGTGAGCACTCTAGTAAATGTAGAGAATACTTATGTTTTAGACATAAATTGGGAAATTAAGAAATCTTGCTGTACAGCTCTACAAGGTGAAGAGAAATACTGTCCAAAAAAGACCTACTTTTAAATATAATTCTTTGAGTTTATTTTAAATATAATTTGAGTATATTACACTAGAAAGTACATGCAGACATTGCATAATAAGTGAGCTCAGGAAAATTTAGGGTGAGGGGAGTATTTTCTGCATTTGCAGAATCAGTTGAGATTAATTACAGTTTTTAAAATCAAGTCTTCCAGGCAAAATAACTGAAATCCTTATGTGCCTCTCCATGGTCTTGTTGGTGCTGGAAATTAATGTTGAGTATTTGTGGATGGTTAGATTATTTTTATTTTCTTTTTTCGTCTTTAGTAGTTAGAAGTCATCTTATACATTATCATAATGCATAGCATTTCTGCATTTGTGAAGCTGTGMTTAAACTATTAGAAATAATTTCTTGCTGAACTAGTCCTTCAGAGAAGGTCGGTCAATCTTGAAAGACTGATAGGATTTGATCCATAATCCACTGAAGTAAGTAGGAACCCCTGCTACTAATGAGCCTGTGCTTTCGCTCATCCTCTAGATAAGGGGTTTGCTGAAGGATCCATTTGCGGATCCTCCTTCAAATGCCTGCTGTGTTGTTAGTCCCTTTGAGCTGGGTCTCAGGAGAAGGATTTCGGAGCAGACCAGTCCCTCTCCTCCAGCAGATCCTGCAGACAGTTAGTGTTGCCTCTTTCCCCTCTACTCTGATACAAATGGCACTTGGAAAGCAGCACCTCCCTATTCAAATCATATTAGTTGCACTAAATGCAAGCATTATGCAGTTACTCATATGAAATAAAATATTTGAGTACTATATATGCTTAATAGGATATATATAAATACATTTCCAAATAAATAAATATATACTGAGAGTGAGAATATCAAATGGGGAAAGATTTGCTTGGTTTTATTAGCTGTAGTCTCTCTCAAAAGATAGCGAAAKGCCCCACTCTTGATCGGACTTCCTACAACTCCTAATTTTAGCCTTATTTCTGGTTTCTGTTCATCTCTTCCTCCCCCCACCATGAGAAAAGACCTAAAGTGTTTAAGATGATAGAAGTATTGGTTGCATGTGTGCCTGCATTGAAGTCAGCTGCAAGGGCCTGGGCCAGGTGGGCTGCCCCTCCTTAATGAGCCTGCCCTGGTCACGCAGCTTAAGGAGGAGCAGGGAGGTGCTGTGGGTGCAGAGCACCTGTGTGCTGTGCACGTGCTGCTGGTGCTGGTCAGGGACACACAGCTCTGCTGCTCTGCGCAGCTGAGGAGACACCTCTGATGGATTCAGCGAGTTTCCTCTTGATGGGACTTAGAGATGGGCTCTGTGAGTCTCGTGTTTGGATATTTTGTAACTTTTATTATTTTTCATTAGTTTTGACCAAACTTTCAGAGCTTGCAGATGAGATTTCTAAGCCTTTGCTCATGAAGGASAGCGGCCGAGGTGAGGCCTCGCATGCCGCCTCAGGAGGGCTGGGCCCGCGCGCCCTGTGTGGGCACTGTTGCAGCACCCCGCCCGCCCGCGTGCTGAGCGGCTCCCGCGAAACATCCGTCCCTAACTGTGTGCCTGGCTTAAAAACCAGCGCACCGGGGCTGCTTTGAAAGCAAACCCAGCCTTTCTACAAAGCTGCTGCTCTGCTTTGGCCGTTGCTGCCTCCTGGGGAGCACCTGAGGCGCGCAGGCAGCCAGCCCGGGGAGCTGCCTGAAAAGGATGTTTTATTTACAGTTGGGGGGGATYTTGCTTCCCTTAGTTCAAGACAAGATCCTGCTGGGTAGGAGCTTGTTGCAGACAAATCAGTTCTGTGCCTTGGTAAGTTTTTTTTTTTCCACAGAAACCTTTTGGCACTTGCATAGGGACCTGATGGGGCAGAGGCTGAGGGACTAGGGTGGCTGTGAGGGGCCTTCCCTGTGGTTTCACATGTGTAGAGATYTGGTTTTTCTCACTCTTGCATTCAGGCTATTTACTCCGTATTACTGAATTTACTTCTTAAAATTGAGATTTAGTTTTAATTGAAAAAGTTAACTTGAAAAGTAATTTAACAGAAAAAGTAAGGACACCTGGAGAAAACCAGCACCACAGATGAAGAAAGAAAAGGTCTAGGAAAGTAGCATTGAGTTTTTTTCTTAATGAATTAGTTTAAGAAGTAGTGGCACTTGCAGGCAAGCCGCTGGTCTGCGCAGTGCTCACTGCAACTACTAGGCAGCCATTTGCCCTATGATGCTTATGTTAAGTGTTTTGCTCTGTATGTAAAACAACACAAAACATCCACTAAAAAAAAAGTACTAACAAAGTAATGTGAATTTTCTCTTTGAGGATAAATGGATATATGCTCAGAGGTCATGGAGAAAAAGGCAGATGACAGTGAGATGAAGGCTTTTGCTTACTGGAGAGAGGCTTGTGCTTTTTGTTTAGGTTGAAAAGGTTAAGTAAATGATGTGCTGCATTTTACATCCCATCCAGACAGTATAAAGAGCCCTGTGTTACCATTACACATTTCAGTGATGTATTTTCTGCATAATATTTTCACAAATGTTAATGATCATATTCATCATGTTTACATTTCTCTTTTAATTGGCTTTTTGGAGAAGGAAAATTTATTTGGTGTTTCTCTGGTGTTACAGTTTTCACTTTCAGCCAACCTATTAGCAAGAGGCACCTTGATCAGAGCAGGCTGGAAATGCTCTTCTTTCCAAAAAAGATGCTGTTCTGACATAATGAAGTGCCTAATTATCAGTGCAGTTACAAGCTAATTATTAAATACAAAATATAACTCATGTATAATTACTGGGATCAAACTGTATTTTAAAATCATTAATCTCTTTTAAACTGGAATGTCATCTGAAAGTAGCCTCTGTTTCAACACTAAACAGCAGTGTGTTGTTTTGGGTTTTTGTTGTTGTTTCAGGGATAGTATACATTGGGAATCCCCTGCGAGGAATTGGCCATAAATATTTAAGTAACCTGAAAAAAATAACCATTTATTTTGTGCGTGTCTTCATGAGCATTCTTCTAAAGCTTGTCCTATTTGCAAACACTGAGAAACACAGCCTTTTCATTAAAATAATGTATTTAGAATGTAATAATTAGGTGCATAGTCAGCAGTAGCTATGTGCTTTGGTTGATGTGTGGTGATGGTGGTTCAAGGTAGTTATTAGCTTTTGCTTTTGCTTGCCTTGAAATGTTTTCAGCCAAGGTCTACATATGTGTGTGTGTGTGTATGTATATGTACATATATACATATACATATATATATACATATACATACACACACACATATATATATATATATGCAGATTTGGCAATGCAGATTGGAGGAAGAAATGTGGAAAAATCAGCTTAGGACAGTTTACAGATCATTTTGTTTTTCTTTCATATATTTATGTGTGTGTGTGTGTATGTATCTATGCATGTACAGAAAACTTGAGTTTTAGAGGCTTCTGTTTTGCAATTTGTAATTACTCATACTAGGTGGACAAAAAGCAACAAATTGGTACTGGACACTGGAAAACTGCTACAGGGACCAAGTTAGTGACTTTGAATTATGCCTTGCCACATCACACTTGATAAAAAAACCTCTTTCATTATTTCTTTAAGATGGGGAATTATGAAAATGGACTATGAAACCCTCAATGCTAGGAAAAATATCTGAAGTATTTAGCGGTGTTGAAAGTACATGTTTAGTAAGATTTACATGTTTAATGTATATGGAATCTTTTAACTTTTCCTGTTATTTATAATGATTTCCTTTTCAGTAGGGGTTTTATCTCTGCCCATTTTGAGATTAAGTTCTATGCCTAAGAATGTACTCAAGTCCAAAAAATTTTTTTTTATAAAATAACTAATTATTATAGTCTCTGCTTCATCTTTTGAAATTTGCGAATAGAAATACTTTCAATCATGCATATTCATAGAAAATTCAATATGAGAAAGAGGACGTGTATCGAGATGAAGAGGGTTTCTCAACTGTAAATGCAAATTTACTCTTATGAATTCAAATTAAGTGTTTTATTATAGAAAGAATATAATGCATAAAGTCAGCGATGGGAGAGCTTGTCCTCCAACGGTGTCATCTGCCCAGTGTTCATGACACTAGTGGTATAATGACTTGATGTTAAAAACTGAATAAGCTTGAAATCATTTCTAGTGTTTTTACTCTGGAAGCAATTTGTTTGCTTTAAGAATGCTCGGCTCTTGGATTTGTTAAGAAAGAAAACAGTATCTACAATAAGAGTGAATTACTGATTTGTTCAGTGTTTGGAAGCGGTGATGTGGTCGGTTCAGATGAGTGAAGTTATTTCCCCTCTTTGCCCAAGACAATTGGCAATAAGGATTTCACTCTCATCAGGGGAAAGGAGGCAAAAACCTCATGTGGTAAACTTGTTGGAACTGGGGGAAAATCTTTCTTCTTGCTCCTSTCTATGAGAAGAAAGTCCTGGGTTGCAGAAGAATTGGTGACCTTCCTTCTGAGACGTTTTTTTCTTAATCTTTCTGGAGGATGAGGCTGCTCGTGCTGAGCTTTGCCTTGAAAGAGCCCAAACTGCTGCCTGGCCTTTCATGCCCGGTGCCATTGCTCTGGTAACTGCAACATCTTGCTTTAACAGGCAGCCACTGTGTGACAGCACAGAAACTGCTCCTCTCGGGCTCTGCCTTTCCTAAGAAGCCAGCAGCAGCCTTTCTTGTGTAGTTCTGTTCAGCTTCCTCCACGGCTGTTGACCTAAGGGTGTGATGAGGTGCAAAAAGCATGTCCTAGTGGGAGCCTGGTGACCGGTCTCGTTGGGCAGGATTGTCACGTGCCAGGCAGAGATCTCTGTCTGTGAATATTCTCTAGAGCTAGTTGCACCACAGCAGAGCTTTTACTCGGTTGTTTTTCCTAGAAATTTAATAGTACTGGATAGCTAGCGTCAATAACTGAGCTCTAATTGGAAAAGACACTTGGGCCTCTCTGTGGAGGAGTTCTGCGAGGTTATCCTTTTTAAAAAATCTATCCTTGAATTATTTCCAGTTCAAAAGACTTTAAGTAGCTATTTCTGTTGTTGGGCTGAGTTTCCAAGTTGTCCTGCTCTGATCTTCACAGAATGTGATTTTAAGTAACTCATTCTTTTGGAGAAAGGAAACTTCCTTTTTCTGCTCTAAGTGAAGAAAAGCAAGATCTCTCTTTTATGCTTGCATTGTGCCTCAGGACTGCAGCTGCATTATTCACAGGGCTGTCAAATASACACAAAGTTCTTCAGAACTGGGACCATCTTCTAGCACTCTGAAAAAGTAGGTGGTGACTAGATAGAAGTGCATAAATGGGTTGGAAAACATAAGTTGATGTTTTGAGCAGGTTTTAGGCTTCTGAGAGTTGGAGATGATCAGCTAGTGTCTCTACCAGGTAAGCTAGGTAATTTTTAATTATTTTTAGATTTTAATCCAACACAATGATTAGAAGCACTTGACAGCTGACATGAATATGAGTGTTATCCTCAAAATTGGCTTTCACCAAGTAAATAGGCTGTTATAATGATGAAGGAAACTTTGAAAAGGATAATCCAGTAAACAGACTGTCATCTGAATTGTGCAATTGGTAAGCTTGAAATGGAACTATGTCAAGTGTCTGGTTCTTTCCTTGTGTGMTTTGAGGGTATATTTACACCAAAGAAACCATTGCACTTCTGTTCTTGAAGCGCTGGGGCTACTTTGTCTCTTTTTTTTTTTTTTATGGCATTGCTTTTCAAAGTTGGAGGAACTTTTGTTATAATGTGCTTTGACAATGAGCAATTCTATGAAAGTTTTTTCCTAGATTATCTCTTTGCCTTCTTTCTCATGTGCTGCCTAAATTGAATGTTTGAATCAATTGCTATAGGTGATATTTTCTTAGCCAAAGTGCTGGTAGTCTCTGCAATTTGAGAAACAAAGCCTTAAGAAAGACTTGGGGTCATTAGCAGAGAGCCAGCCATACAAATAGGAATGCTTTGTACTTCTTGTGAGTCAGATTTCTGTGAAGAAACTGAAATATTTTCTTAATTTCTCTTAAACTTTGTTCTTTCCAAGTCCTTTGAAAGTTGGGTCAAACAGGCATCTTATAATGGCCGCTGTCCTCTAGGCTGGGAAAGCTACCTAGGTGAATTTGTCTAAGTACAAAGAGATGCTGATGGTTTGAGGACAAGTGCACAACAAATTTCAAGATGACTTTAATTTATCTTCCTGCTGAGTCATTATGCCACACTTTTCTTGACACAAAAGAGGCCATTTTGAGAGCATATGGCCTGGAAAAGTGTTACTGAGCAGGTGTATCAGGAACTTTTCTCATAATAACTCCAAATAATTCAGACAAATATGGCATA